AACGGTTCCTCTATTTTCTACCATTGCGTATTAAGTGAGCGAGTTAGGGATCCTCACCCTCTCCTGAAACTCCTGGTAAAGAGAATCGCTGTGTTGACGCGCAGGATGCTGTGCTGCAACCACAGACTGTTGTGTTCAAATTCGCGCGCGCGGGAAGAACTGGCAGCCATGCCTTTTGAATACCAATACGTTTTGAAGACCAGTAACCCCGCGTCCGCGCTTTATTGCATTGGGGCGCGCGTTATTTTGACCCTTTAAGTAAACAAACTTGTCTTTGAAGGGTTATAACTTTCTTTAATGCAGATCGTTAGGAATGACGAAGAGCACAGGTGAAGAGAAAGGTTCGGGCTTCCCAAAAAGTACTGAAATGTTTGTAAGGTTGCCAAGTTCAGAAAAAAATTCAGCGTTGGGGATAGGTTGGAGATTCACAAAATTTGGATGCAAAAAGACCAAGGCTGTCCTGGTGTGAACGAATATAATCTTCCGAAAACTCAATTATTTGCAAATCTGGACCCCAATTCGAATACCAGAGGATTCCTTCTTCCCATTGACCACTTCAATTAGTTTGAACTAATGTTTTCGCGATTCATGGAGAGAAAACGCAGTGGAGTTTTCCGGTGGAATATTCCGAGCAGACGCGAAAACGCGTTTCGTTGTACCGTTTCAAGCAGGCGATTGAATATCACAAATGTATCTTAAAATGCATCCCTTCGTGGAATAGGAACAAACAGTAGTTAGTTTAGCGCCCATTAGCTTCATTTCTGGATGCGCCATGCTTATGCTCCCACGCAGAGGTAGTGGGATGGTGTAAGTTCTACGCAATCTCTGTCTACGCGAGCAGATGTGTTTGTAGGATTTGGGCTGGTCCATGGCCAACTTACGCACTTGCTTACAGTCTTGTCCGTTGCGGATGATGGGCGTGCCCGCCACGGCAACCGCACACCGTCAGATCCGTGCTCCACCATCTGCTAATTCCGATGCGGGAGACCAACTGCTAGAAAACGTCTGACACGAACGATATGATAGTTCTGTCGTTTGTCGAAAGAAAAAAAAAAAAAAGGTTGGCGCCATATCAAGCGCGGTCGCTTGGACACGCCCCATCATCCGCAGGAAACCAGGAGTATGAAATGTACTGTTTAGCCATCTATGTACTTACGAAATGATGCCAACTTAGTAATGTTTCTAGGTAATTTGGATCAGTTCACTTAATGAAAGTTTGGTACAATTTTTTCTACACATCCGGGTTCTCTACAAAGCAAGATTCGCTATACAGGATCAGCATACTGACACCTTTGCGCTGCTCGTTCCTGAGTGAAGGACTAATTACGACCCGCTCTTCGGACGGCAAAATACGATCCCCCTGTTGGGAAATCCCCGAACAACGATGTGCCCTGAAAAAACGGATTAGTTGTCTCATGACGGAAACAATCAAGTGCGCGCCACTGCAAATTCCCGCCCTTCGAGCATGATGGATTAGAGCGCGATTCCTTCAACACATCTCAGTTAGCACCGAAGAAATCAGTTTTATTTGATTAATTCGATAAGAAGTACACCGTTTCTTAATGTTTTGGTGCCGCGTTGTCATGTCGAATTCAAATTGAGAATCCACCTATCGACATAGGCAGGTACTAAGAGGAATTCCAGGGTATGGCTTAGCAGCGGCGGAAATTGTTCGGCCTCACATTCGATGGGACTTTTTTTCATTCTTTGGGAAAGTAAGACATGTGATTGAAACTAACGGTTTATGCTACCTAAAAGTTGCTAGCGTAGTGGGTGAGTAGAACCACACGATTCTGAACAGGACCTCAGTGTGCTTCAAGATAATCTTACTGTGTCGAGTAAATTACAAAAAAGAAACAATGAATCCGTTATAGTGTCAGAACAAGGTAGATAGGCTGATGGGGATGTCTAAACTGATGATAAAGCAGGAATGCGCAAGGATACACGTGGCACAGACGGAATCCAGAGGCGATCGTTCATTTTGGAACGTTGGCAGAATAAAGTAAAATAACAAATCCTCAAACCCAGTAAAACGTGCCAACAACGTTTCATGTGGTGCACGTAAAGCATCCGTCAGAACACGTCCATGATCTTCAACCAGTACGTTCAGTGCCCCTAATCTGCAACAAGGCCACCACTATAGCAGAGGTACAGTAACATTCTACCTTCTGCAAAGCTGATCATGATAAGATAAAACGAGATATTCCTGTCATTCATCACAAGGAACCTATCCCGCTACAGGATCGCGCCCCTGTGCAGCAGCTATATTCTTTCTTTGAGGGCAGTCGTGCTCGGCACTGTTTATGAGCATCCAGGTGGACGAGACTTGAGGAGTTCGAAGATTGGCGCACAGTCTTGCAGGGCGGTAGTAAAGCGGGCCAAAGTCCATTTACTGACGATCTGTAGAAAATGGTTTTGTTCGGAAGACAAGACAAACTGTATGCTCACTTCCGAGCATGGAGGTTGCGCATAGCCAGGGCCTGCTAGCAGTTACAAAACTTCAAGCACTTAGGAGCCAGAAATGAGGCCGAAGAGTAGTGATACCTGGGTACTGTTTGAACTCTTCCGCGCGATTCTTGAGGTCCACACTGGCGTCGATAAAAGTATCTCGCAGTGAAACATACATTCAGCAGTAGAGAACAAGCAGAGGTGAGAGGGTTGCAAAAGCACGTCGGGCTATGGGTAAAAGTGTGGCTGGCAGTACAGTAGCGTGGCGGACCTCGAAATCACCCGGCTATCACTACCCTCCAGCACCGTTCCAATGCACATTTGAGCAGAAAAGCGGCACGCCACTGCTGTTGATGGTCCCAATTACCTCGCACATGGCAAAAACGATGAATCTTGAAGGTGATTGTTCAATGCTATCTTTGAACTGACCCGTGCCTTCTGCAGGCAATATCCTTTTAAAGGCGAAGAGGGCAGCTTGGCAGCTGTAGAATGGTACCGCCTACAGTAAGCCCGCGGCAATGAAGTTAGAGGACTGTGGTGGCTAGTTGTTCTTCTCATGTCTCCGCCCGCGAGCCAGGTACGCGTTTATGACCCACCATGCGCCAGAACTAGCTAACAGCACTACTTATGTGCATCCTCCCACAGTTAAAGGCACTTTCCGCGATAATAAAGAGTATCTCAAATTTGTCAGACGATCCGGAAGGCGATTATGAAAGCTGTGCAACCTACAAAAAGTCAAAATGGGCAAGAAGTCCGCTGAAAGCTGGCCGGTTAGGCTCGAGGGCACCCCTTATGCCCAAGCCGACGCCCACTGGCTGCTAGCTACTAGCTAGTAGGTACTCTGCCATTTCTCTTCATTCCAAATGGTGAGAGTGAGGCGATAAGAGAAAAGAGCTAGCATCGTCATGATAACGAAGAGTGGTAAAAATCGTTTAGACCCCTCCCTCTCCTGCATGCATGCAACGTAGTACAATGTGGATGCGGCATGGTGTCCAATTTAGGGCATTTCGGACCGTTTCTTGCTTTTCTCCACTTCTCAGTCACTTAGCACTATCTCGTTCGTATACAGCACTATCTCGTCCGTTACCAGCAACCTACAGTCTTCATCATTACGTACTGTCGGGGTGGCACAGCCGCGCTGCACTGTGACGCGACAGGTCGCCGGTCCGGGTGACGCCGTGAAGTCAAGCTTGATATCAATGGAGTTCGGCTGCAAATTCCCACTTTTTCAGCTCTTCAAGCTTCTGAAGTGGAAGGTGAGTTATTCTGACCAATTTTGAGTTGTACTGACTCTCAATGAATTGAAAGAATGTAAGCCATTTTGATAAATGCCTGAAATAAGGCAAAGTATAAGGAAAAGGGCATAATAATCGACATAAAGATAAAGGAAATCAGAGCCAGTACAATTCAAAATTTTTCAGAATAACTCACCTTTTACATTAGAAGCTTGAAGAGCTGGAAAAAAAGGGAATTTGCAGCCCATATTCATCTGAAATCAGGCACTGATTCACTCTCACCGAGCCAGCGCTGTCGCATACAAGTGCAGCGCGCTAGCTGAGCCGCCTCCGACAGTACGTAATGATGAGGACTTATATGTGGGCTTTTGCCTTTAATTGATGCGCAGCTGTTCTCTAGGATTTGCCTTGACGCTTGCAGCGAATAGCGAGCGTACTGCCAGCAGTTTACTGCGTGACTATGGTCGCTCAGGACCGGCAACGAACATATTACAACATGTGGCATTCTAATAAGATGCCATCCGGCTACCACGCCCCCTCCTACCCCAAGCTTAGCTGCCACGCCCTTTCAGATGACAAAATTGGAAACCTCCTACAGCTGCTTCCCACCTAGCCCACGTAAGTAATCAACCTGGGCACAACGTATCTTCGAGTGCTACTTTCATCTCCGAAGTTTCTGATTTTGACTTCGACAATTCTACAAGGGCAAAGAGTCACTCTGCTCACCACAAAAAAACCTCGCCTAAGGTGAAAAGTTACATGAAGGATTCTGGCTAAATACCATAAAAACGAGCAAGCTCTCCATCACTGCCTGAACGAGAAGGTGAAGCCCTCCACCATCAGCTGCTTTACACCGCTGATTGTTTCTCTTCTCAGCCGATTACCATTGGTGGAGCAAGGTAGAGGTAGAGGCGTGCTGATCCCACCCCTTATGAGACCGCCCCGACTGATTGTCATATTCGGAGTCAAAGACTGTGGCCGGTGTCCGACGTTCATGTTTGAAGTATTCCCTTTAATTTTTTTCGGAACCACCAAAACCACACTGTTTCCACCCGCCGTCCCCTTGTACCAGAAATTCCGTTCTAGAACTAATAAGAAGAAACGAAAATTCAGTTGGGACGTTTTATTGAAAAAAAAAACACATTTTCCACAATAAACGCTTTGAAACGGAATTCATCTTCACAAATAGAATCTTTTGGCATACGCAACAACAGATCGCAACAACAGGTGCACATGTAACAAATAATACAAATCTTATAGCCATATGGATAAAAAAAGACAAGCAAAGAGCTGACAGTATCCAAAAGAGATAAAAAATTAGATAGCCTAAAATATAAAATAATGAACATGATCTCGCGCGCGTTGTCCACATCACTTTCAGCTAGTGGTTCCTTCCTTGCTGGGAGCGAGTGGCTGAAAGGTTGGAAGCATTTCGTTGGTAGAACACCAAGATCGAATCTCACGTAAGTCCAATTTAGCTTCTCCAAACATTCTGGGACCAGAATAGGCAACTGTTTCATGGCGAGTAATGAAACTCTGCACTGACTTGGGCTGTACCCAGTGGGATACTGTACAGACCAATGAAGGTGCTATTCGGCTTGGAGGGGGGGGGGGCACTTCGCACTTGCGCTGGTTCTTTTGCAACCTAGAAACTCCTGTGAAGTTGCGAAATGGTGCGAGCGAGTCACATCGGTCTCAGTCATACAGGCTACATGTGGCTTGGGAGAACCACTGTTCGACCACTGACGTGCGACTCCCCGCCAACAGCCGATCCCGGGCTCAAAAACGGCAATGACCATGACTATTTCACCCCTACAAGAGCACTCCAGCGGGCAGCTGTTCAGTGGGTATTCCCTCTGACGTGGGGGAACCTCGCATTGCAGCCGCGATATTCCCCTGATGGCGTCCACTCTGTGCGTCATGTTCAAAACCACCCCTATTCCGTCTCAGGGCTGAGGAGTATACAAACATACACATCTTCTGGTTCATATGTATATAAATTGAGTATGAAGCTGTGTATAGAAAAATCAGCCACCAACATCCCGGGAAGCAGTGGAATGAAATGACCTTTTTTACATGGTACTAAGCTTGATCGCCGGAACGTTTCTCAATCTATTCAGCTCGCACGCCGATAAATTTGCTAGCAGATTATTGACGGATGGGAGAGAGATTAGGATATAACAGCTTTCATTAAGGTTCTGTGACACTATTTTGTAAAACTTACGGAACGTTCTCCATCACGCGTCACCGTACGAATGAACTTCACAAAAGTCCACGGAACATTTGAATTAAATTCGTTGAAACGTAACACACAAACCATGCTGCAATCAACAAATAATACATATGATAACCGAAAAAAGAGCAAAAAACGACAACGCAGTCATGCCATGGCCACACTCAAGTACCGAAGTGGAGCGCTACTACTGCAATGATTCTCCAGTGCTGTAGACAGGATGGGCAGCCAGCAGAGGCATAATCGATCGGCGCTGGCACGTTTGGGTTTCAAGAGAAAGTAATAGGAAAAAAGCGAAGGGAGGCACTTCTGGTACTATTCACACGGGCCCAGTACTCTCCTTTTCTTCTATGCTCTCCCAACACTAGCGGCTGGCGCCAATCGATACCAGACTGTGTGATGCTGCTGCTGCGTGCCCGTCCATAACACTGAAGCGCCATTGCCGAGCTAGCACCGACGCGTTTCAACTAACCGCGGTCCTAGCGCGTAAGTATGAACGCAAGCCTTAGATGCAATTGATTTTATTGATTCCAAATTGCGAATGCGAAATCCGCTTGTATTGCCAGATTTTTACGCGGATCACAAAATCCCACGATTCCTCGAATAACAGCTACTGCTAAGCGGCTGTGGGACATGACACGCTAAAGAAAAGCTGTGCCTGCGGAGCTGGTTTTTTCTAAGGGGAAAGTTGGCAAGTGGAAGAGTACCACTTCTGATATTTAAGAGTGCATAACAGCGAAGCTGTGGGTTATGATCTCGCGAGACGCCAATGTCAAGCAGCGAACATGTGGGAACAGAGGCAAAGTACGGAGCCAAAGAGTTGTAGAGAACAATGGCACTCAGTAAAATGCGAGAGGGCACAGAGAAGCAGTGCGCCAAGCTATGGCTGGGCGTATGAATGGCAGCAGGGCGTGTTGCGATTTGTCACCGGGCGGGAACACAAATCTTCTACGCACTTTCGGTGTGTACTATTGAAGAGCAGCTGAGATGTCCCTCACATACGGACAAGCTTAACATCGCAGGTAAGAGCACAATGTATTTTTGGGAGAAACGTCTTCCAGATAGGACAACTCGTCCGGCCCGCTGAGTCACCGGAGTTTCTAATTGACGTCCTACATCACGCGGAAAGCAAGTGCTATAAGTAACTAAGCTATGCAGAAAATACAGTCAAAGATGTACTCTAATGACTAACCTCTGCGAAGCAATGCGGTTGTAATCTTTCTCGGTGATTTCGATTTTTCCCACCTGCGGATTCTTCATTATTACATTACGATTCGGTAGGCTTCCAACCAAAGTGCCATTACACTTTATCTCGATCTGTAAAATGGAAAGGGTTTCTTATTTCTAAGAAACCGTAGTATCAGATGATAAAACCAAATAAAGTCAACAAGTCACAGAAAAAAAAACCTCAATTGAGTTGTTTAAACAATAAGTATAAAAAGGTGGATCGGCTGGGCGGTCAACTTTTTTCACATGATGAAATTGTCTCGAGTCAACCTCACGCAAACTAAAACATCAGCAACGCAAAATATGACAAAATACGGCGGCCAAAGTAGGGCGGGGATGTGACAAGACATTCGCAATAAGCCGCGCTGATGGGCGTGGCAAGCAACGCCGCACCCTTGATTATGGGTGTCATAGGGAAGGGAAATTTGATATGGTGAGTCATAACCTTTTCTTTGCTCGCATTCACATGAGTTTCGCTGCCTCAATCGACAAAATGAGGCACATCGAGAAATGGCCACGCATGGCTGCACGGTACGCCACGCGCAGCGACGGGACAAATCACGATTGTCTTGTCCATCTTCCTAAAAGTAGAACAAAAATTACCGTAAGCTTCCATAAAACCAATCTCCTTTCTTTAGAACCTCTCCAGTTTGTCGAATAAAGGGTTCTTCGACGGGTATTACTCCAAGCTCCGAATTCCATGCTTTAGTTCCGCGTCCATCGACTCGAACGCAAACCATCAGCGGAGGATACAATCTCTTAAAACAAGGTTCACAGATTGAAGGAACAATAGGGTTAGCCAAATCTTCTACTGGAAACAGAATTCCCAATGGAAATCATTACCATCATATCAACAGACCTCTAATCAAGTGGAAGAAATAGTGAAACTTCTCTTGAAAGGGTCGGGAAGGGAGTATATGCACATATATAGTTGAAAACGTCACAGTCGGAGCGGTGTCAGGAGGGGCGTATCAGACCGCCTTCGGCTGCCTCTCCCTGCCAATAGTGATCGGTTAGTAATCGATTAAGGGATAAAACAACCAGTGAGGGCACACTCCGCCCCTCTTGAAACCGCTCCGACTGATTGCGACGATATCAACTGTAAGCCCAACGCGCCTGAATTGTGAAAAATCAGCAATCCAGAAACTTCCCGTCACGCTATATACGAACCCTCAACGTTGGTTCTACAACTATAGCCCACACTGACTGTGTTTCCGCGCAATAATTTGTGGGAATGGCAATTACAGGACATGGCACCTTCCCTGCCCATGCTACACAAGGCAGCGTCAGACTTTTCAATGACGCGCGTTGGAGCGCTACAACTGCAACAGCGCTTCAATCCTGTAGACCCGAATGCAGCCGCAGACAGGAGCCTATTGGTGCCAACCTCTCGAGGTTTGAGAGAGAGTACAGGATAACAAGAGGGCAAGAACTGTCATTACACAATCTGGCACTCTCTCATTCTCCTACATTCTCCCGAAACCGTAGCGCCAGTGCCGATCGATACCAGTCTGCGCGACTAGACAAAGGGTGCCCTCTTGTTCTTGACTCTCTCAATGCACAAGCGGTCGGCGCCGTCTAATTACCGTCTGCAGCTGTGTTCGCGTCTATAGAACTGGATCGCTGTTGCGACTGAAGCGCGTCGATGCGCGTTACAGCGCGTCGTTGCAGAGTGTGAACGCTGCCTAAGCCCACACGAGGCCATGGCGACGAGGCAACTCTTGAATGCTGACTGAAAGGAAGTGAGAAGGACGTTCGTCCGCTCCCATGCCGCTATATCCAAGCTATTTCCATCCAGAATCGTACTGTATTGCCGTTTTATAATATTGAAGCTGCAAAGATTTACCCCAGGATACTTGTGCTGCAAAACACAGAACAATGAAATTAACATCCCCCCTCAACCCTTGCTTTACAATAAAAGAACTTGTCACCGTGACATACAAGGCGGTCAGGCAACGATGACGATATATCACGTCCCTTACGGAACCTGTAGTTTCTTCGCTGTGGTGCTGGCTCGTACACTCTTGCAGAATATGGACCTTCTGAAACAAGTAAGGACCTGAGATGAAGTGGGAAGGCAGAGTCTAGACAGCTATAGCCGGAGGATGGGCATACCGTCTGAGATAAAACCTTTATCTCCAAGTTCAGGACCAGTATGCTTCTTTTCTTCATGTTTCTTTCTTGCAGACAGGGTCATTGCATACCATTTATCCTGAAAGAAGACTTTTACTAGAAAACGTTTATTAGCCAGCAGCTTGCACACCTGGTCTTCTAGCATTTGATTTCGATAATGTTCAACCATCTGTTCGTCATCAAGAGGTTTCAAAAGGTCACATATTCGGAATGCTACTCCATGGGCAGTTGCCATTTTCGAGTTATCTCTGAACAAGAGAAAGTATAGGCATACGCAACTTGAATAGCTACCAATACAGTCATGATCTCAGCAATCGGAATCGGCGATGGGAGCGTGCGAAGGGGCATGGCTTGATGCGCGGCCAGTCAGATTTCCCAAAAGCTGTATTGGGCTTAGGATGGCATTGTTGGTGGAAAAAAAGGGCGCCTGGCTGCGCTGCGATTCGCGCAGCGTCGTACGCCCTATCATTTGCAGGGATCACGACTGTACGCCTCAAGCGTGTAAATGGATAGAGAACGATCAGTGGTAATTTCCAGAATAATCCGAGTAGAAACGAAAAGGTCCCCTCCCCTCTCCACCCTCTTGCTCAGAACAGGCCGGGGTCGTTCAGAGGAGTCAAACTTCGAAGGATCAGGACTCCAAAACCACCATAAAACTTATCTGCTCCTTAAGGCGAAACTGTGCACTCACCTCCGGGGACAGTACTTCAATACTTACCATGTGCCAGATGAATGGGTCCGTAGCTGCAGTAGCATGCCACTTCCTCCGCTCAAAATTGCGTGGAAGCGGAGCTGGAGAGTAGTGATACCCGGGTGCGGTCACCATACTCCATTCGCGCTATGCTCAAGACACAGCACTTTCTGATACCATAGCGAAATACGTTCTCAGCGGTAGAGAACAATTAAAAGTGAAGGCCAGACAAGTAGCGCGTCTGGCTATGGTTAGGCGTGGGACTACCGTGTGGCAGAGCGGGCAGAGTATTGAGACGGCGATATTTGGGTAGCACTACACTGCGCCATCTTTAACGTGCACTTTTGAGCGAAAAATACGAAATGTCATTGCAGCTGCGGTTCCATTCACCTCATACTTGGATAAGGGTCAGGATTACGAAGGTGACGGCATAGTTTATTTCGGAAGGGACAAAGAACGCTGATAACCCACAGAGAGGTGTATCTGAAGGCAGTTGGCACGATGGTTTCCTACTTAGCCTAAAATGCTAGTAGGGCGCTGTATAGTGGGGAAATGGCGAAAGAACGGAGTGAAACGGTCAAAATCCTGCGAAGAAAAAGCCTCCGTTCTCAGTGACTTGTAAATCGATTTCGGACGAGTTTTCACCGCTACCGAAGATACGGCTGCATATGTGTACCCATATATGCATGCAGCATCACGGCCGCTTCATACCAATCCCTTCGCTTCATAATTTGCTTAGCAAATGAATGAATACGAGCGTCAGGAACGGTCGTCCATTTGTGGGCGGGCGGGCGTTTGGGACGTAAAGTTGTGGCTTGATAGGGCCCTTATAAGGGCACCTTCCTCGGGGAAACCGCTATGCAGCGCCTGCCCAGGGTC